AATGGATAAACAATGTTCACCAAAAAGGCTATTATAAATCAATAAAGATAATTAAAACAGCATAATGATAACTCAAAAATAGAAGTGAGTCCTTCTGAAGAAAAACAAAGAGCCCAGAATAAAATCTGAATATATTTTAAGAGTTAAATGGGGATGGAATTTATGTAGTCCATTTGGATTTAGGAATTAGAAAAGTCAATTCTAACAAAAGTGAAGACAGAAAGATTACTGTTTTGGAAGTATGGTAATGCTTTAATTATGGAGGAATGAGAGACCATACAAGATGTAATATGACCAGATAAAAGTATTTAAATATCTAGATCTTTCATGAACTTAAAGGGAACATTAAAAGAAAAAGAGGAATACAGGAATATGGGAAAAGATTTGTAATAAATCTCATGGGTAAAACCAGGAATTCTCCAGCACATGAAGGGGCTTAACCAGCAAAAAACACCAAACCCCTGATAGACATATCAAGGCGTACAGATGCATGATCCACAAGAGGAGCATCACACAGTGAATAAGGACTAGAAAAATGTTCAACCACACATGTAAATCTAAACGACAGTGAGCTACGAGCCCACACCTTTGAATATGAAAAATGTTGCGGCAGCTCTGAGAAGCTGTGAAGACGCACAGCTGGTATCATTTTCAAGATTAGGGAATGATCCGTCTTTTTGTTGACGCAGTATGACAATATGTAGCTAGAGCCAAAAAATGTACCCACCCTTTGACCAGAAATCTAATTCCTGAGAACTTGCTTACTGAAAGTTATCCAAAAGAATAAAGAAGCTTCCAATAGAGAAATACTGTACAGCATTTTTAAAAATTAATAAGTGAATGATAGATAACCAAACTCTACCCAAAAAATTTGTGTCAGAAAATTGAGAACCTTTTGATAAGTCTTTGAGGGAGAAGGCAAGTCAGGTGCAGTGTGCCCTCCCCACAGAGCCCAAGCTCCCGGCTGCCCTCTCTGTAACCATCAAGTTTGGGAAACTGGCCCAGTCACAGCTCAGACTTTGTTTTCACATGTGCGGTTCTTTTGTGTTTTAGGAGTGAGATGTGGCCCTTTGCGCATCAGAACTGCTAAATAAAATTTGTGATCTATGTAACACAATAATATCATTTGTCACCCTTGCAGTCCTCATAATTTCCTTTATTATGTAGAATAATATAAGTTTAGGTGTACTGCATAATGTACATAATAGATTCCATCCCCCTCAAGTATGGGTAGGTGAATGACCCCAACTGGAAAAGCCGGCTGTGGGTCCACAGTGAAGCTGGGGAAGGGAAGTGGAGTCTCTTTAAAAGTTCTAGGATTTAAAGGAGTTCTCGTTTATCAAAATATCAGAAGTAGGCAATTGCTGTGTTCTTGAGCATTTGTTGAATGGACAATGTTTTTGAAATGAAAACAGGCTTAAAAGGTAAAATTACAAACTGGCAATGAGAGACTGTGGATTTTAGTGTCTCCCACGGCGTCAACAGGCCCCCACACCTTGGAAGGCCTTTCCTCTACTCTGGATCCTGGCTGTCTCTTCCGTTGGTGGTAACAGCTGTCATCTCCCCATTGTCATGTGATGGTGTGTGTGCTCATGAGTGAACATCTGTATGCAAGACGTGCAGAGTTAACAACTGCCTCATCAGGCGCCACTGTGGGAATGAAATATTCCACATAGGTGCATTTGCCAAAAAATAGAAGTTTATACTTTTATTATCTTCTATATGCCCTTCCTTGGTTGCTTAAACAAAGCATAATAAGCATCAATTTTTATGATGAGAACTTTTCCAGTTCTGAAGCTTCAGCTTTCAGTTGTTAAAGTTACCGATATTTGATCACCATGTGAGTGTGTGTATGCATGTGTGTGTGTCTGTGTGTGTGTGTGTGTGTAAACGTAAACATCAACAAATGTGACACTGTGTAACTCCTAAGGTAACATAATTAGTTAAAAAAAAAAAAAGAAAAGAAAAATGACAGCTACCTAAATAAAAAATGCAAAGTTAATTTAGTAGGGGAAATTGACTTATCATCTCAAAAGTAAGCACATTGTTTCAGGCCAACAATAGTTCTATCTTAAAGAATAATTCCAGAGCTTTCTTTGTTCCTTACTCAGAGGCAGATGCTACATCATTGTCTGTGTTCATCAGTGGGCTGCACAAGGCCCAAACCAAAGTGTTTCATATTTAAACTGCAATGTAACCATTTTCTTTCTTTCCTGGTAGTCACTTAAGTCAGCTTTCTGCAATCTGATAAGCACAGTTGTCAGAATCAGAATTTTTAATTTCCTTCATGTAGCTACAAAGCCCCAGCTTTTCTGCAATTTGTACTTGTAGCAAAGACATATTTGAACAGCTTTGTGGAAATGCATTTAGTATAACCTAGCCTCATACTTGCATATCCTGTAGGCACATATCCGGCACGTGTACCGTTCTCCTATTCCCTGCCCTCGCCAGACATGACTAATTGATCAGAGCAGTCATCCCTCACGGATGCAGGCTTGGCCTTACAGTCCTCCCCCAGTCTGTCTGGGGTCATGGGAGTTTACTTGCAGGCAGCTGTTTTGCCTTCTCAGCTCTAGATTGATATGGAACAGCCTGTTGGCTGTTCGTCCTCTTTAGTGCTAAATGCGGTAAAATAAGAAACTGACATTGAAATAAGTTTTTTGAAGAAATCATTTAAAGAGATTGGTTGTTTCACGTGTAAGCCATGCCTAATGTCCCACCATAGCAGATTTACTTGCTGAGGAAAGAATCGGAGGGAAGAAAGAAGCAGGCTGCCTGTGTGGAGCGTGGGTGATTGTGTCACTGCTGGGCTGTTTACTCGAGGTTCCTGCTGCCACCCTCTCTCTTCTTACGGTTTTGTCTGTGCCAATTGGTCCAGTGTCCGTAATTACTCGGTTCCTGCAGATTTATCGTCACAGAAGTAAGCTGTGGAGGAAGAAGTCTTCCGCTGGAAGCTGTCACTGAGATTAGCTATTTTGCAGAGCGGTTTAATGTCTGAACTTAATCAAGTAGCGTTCTGTTTGCGTTTCAGCCTCCCAGGCCTTTCCGCTCCAAGTGAAATTCTCTGTGTGAAATTACATTGCTGGCGAAACTCTGTTTTTGGCTTCTTGCCTCCTGACCAGTAGGACCTTGTTTCTTCCCAAGGGATGTTTGAATGGCTGCCAGTAGCAAGTTCTGTTTCTGACATATATGTGGATATTTTATCAATTAAGGTAAAAATAGATGAAGCAAGCTAAGATGTTTTCATCAGATATCTAGACTTGACCATCAGACCCAAATATGTTAAGAAAGATAAAAACTAACCGAAGTTTATCACTGGGTTGCATAAAATATGGATGAGTCAATGGAATTCTTTTAAAAAGTGAGAAAAATAAACCCTGTCTATTTTCTTTTGACATTCCTCTTTGTCAGTAGTTAAATTCACTGTGCAATAAAAATACATCTGCTGTTGATTTTTTTTTAAGTGTGAAGTGTTCCCTTATTTGGGGCCGTCATAGAACAGAGGGTTATCTTAGACACCATGGCAGCCCAAACCCTCCCCACCCCACCCCTAGAGCTGCTCACCCCTGGCCCACATGCCCCATTGTTCCTGCCCCCACCTCTGCTGGTTGCATCCTAGCGTGTAGAAGACGATGCCGAAATGGTGCTGTTAATCTTAATTAAATTACAAATTATTTCATCATATGCAAAACCCCTACTCGTCAGTACCAAGTTGGGGACATGATTGTCTCTTAGGAGTGTGTAGTTACAGAATGCTTATTGTCTTGTAGAAGATTTGAAGCATGGAGAAGGACATCTTTAAAGCTTTACAGAAATGTCAGTTGAAGGACATCTGTGTCCTGTCACGAGCGTGGAGATATGATGACGTAGGAAAGTGGCTTACATGGCTAGAGAACTTTCTGTGCGATTGACCACTCGGTGTGCTCCCAGCACAGCTTCCAGGAGGGCCCGGGCCTCTGCTGGGTGCTTCCAGCACAGTGCTCACAGTGTTTCAGTGTGCATTTCCTCCGTGTGCTCCTGGCAGCCTTAGTCCTCGCCATGCTTTCTAATTAACGGGCGGTGCATGACCGTCGATAAACCAGACAAGGCGGAGCCTCATTAGGAGACTCATCCAGCAGCCAGAGGGAGACGGTGGGATAAATTAAGAACAGAGCACCCCTGATTCAGACCGGAGCACAGTTTCTCAGCCATTAATCAAAGTGTCTGAAAAAGACAGCACAGCTCTAATACACCTGCTGTATCCGTCAGATCCCAACAGTAGATGCGTATGTGTGCTCAGGCACAAAGGAAAGAGACACCAGCGAATGGGGCACGTGGATAATTAGATAGATTCCTGGTTCTCACTTCCACCTTGTCCTAAAGCAAGGCTTTTTTCTGCATGCCATTCAGCTTTTCTGGACCAGTGCTGTTGTGTCAGTGTCCAGCCTCAGGGCTGGGCCAATCTGGTGCCCATTCTGAAGAATATTAAATTCCCTTTCCCGCCTAGCTCTGCAAACATTGAATGTGAAGTTACCGGTGCCAAGAATAAAAATGGCCCTGTGCTAAGATAAGGTTACTACTGCTGCAAACACTGTGCCCCCTCAGATCTTCTTCTAAGGGTTTCTAGTAAGATTATGTAGCTCATCTCTCACCACCACCATCTTTACGTTCACGGAGTGCGTCATTTAAGCAAACCCAAAATGGTCACATATTCTTCAGCTGGTTTTGCATGTGTGGCGTACTGCTTATCTTTGTTGTACACGACAGCCGTGCATCCAGCCGGGACTGTTACACATACAATGTGTGATGTGGCCACATTGGCATTGCATCACATTGGCTCTCCAGGGCTGCTCCCGTTTGAGTGCAACACGTGCACACAATCCTGCAGACACATACACACACGCGTACACACACATACACGCTCTACAGGACCGCATTATTTGAGCCTTGTGTGGGCCCCAGAGGCTCTCTAGCACAGAGAGATATTACTGTTCATAGGAGAATTCTAAATCTTATTTCAGGTCTTGACTCAGATGAAGAACTTGGGCTGCTCTGTCACCACACGTCCTATCTAGGTGATTGTCTGGGGCTGACCATGGCCTCCTGATACTCTGTAACCTTTTCTTTATTTTTCCTATGTCTGCACGTCTGCATGGTTATTCAAGCTCGGAGGGTTGGGGAAGCACAGGGGAGATGTGTCCTGGTTGGTGTGGCTCAGGGGTTCTCTCTGGGTTTGGGGAGAGCTTGAGGAGAGGTCCGTCTCCATGGTTCTGTTCATCAGCCAAAAACAGCATCCAACACCGTTATTTCATGCACACCCAGTGGCTGTGGCATTTCTTGGGATGTGGAAAGAAGAAAGCAAATTGGCTCTAGCAAATCCAGTATCTGCTACTTGTCCCCGTGGCTGTGATGTGTGTATGCCATACAGCCCAGAAGGACAGCCAATCTTAATGCTTTCTGATTCTCAGCAGCTTGCCTGAGTTTGTTTTTCTTTGTTTTGGTTAGAACTGGGCAATAAATGATTTGAGGGAGGGAGATTTTATTTAGTTACTAAGTTCATTTTCTCAAAGAAATGTTGCCTAGCAGCTATCGCTGAACCTTCTTTCTGCGTGTGTGTCTCCCCTCCCCAGACCAGAGAGTGGCATCCTTCTGCACCCTGACAGACATGCAGCACGGGCAGGGCCTGGAGGCAGCCCAGGAGCTGCCTCTGTGTGTAGATCCAGGCAGCGGCAAAGATTTCATGGACGCAACTGGGTATGTGCACCCCTGTGGACCCCTCTGTCCCGCTGTCCCAGGCTCCCGTGATTATCAGTGATTCCGCTAACCCTGGGCCAGCCAGGAGATCGTTTCCACCCAGGCCTTCCCCTGGTCCTTCAGAGTCCAGAGAAGGGGCTGAGTGGGACTGACTCAGCGCCCTTCCCTGCTGGAGTGGACGGCGCTTGGCAGCATAACTGCTCTGCTCCGTGGGTGGGTCCTGCCTGCCAAGACGTCTCACCCCATGCCCACGGTGATGTGGCTCGCTGACAGGGAGGGAGGGTGTGGGCCCTGGGGTCAGCGTCTGCCGCCTAATTACTGTGACAGCACCGGACAGGGACACCTCTCTGATCACCTTTCTGCCTGCCAGGCCACGCTTGCTGACCTGCCAAGGGCACATTTCCTCCCCAAACCCTGGTCTTGACCCTGCCTCCCACCTCCCCGTGAAGTGTGTCGAGAACAAGCCATCTCTTTCCCCTACTTTTTGACATGTTTATCACCCATGGAATATATCTTCTTTACCTGTGTCATCCTTTCCTAATTCCAACTTTTACATAAACTTGAGTTTCTTTTAACATGTACATTCACCTTGGGAATGAACTTTATGATATTTTCTTGACAGAGACAGGCAAATTGGGGAAATTGAATTATATGTGGTTCCCCGACTTCATTCTGGTCCTGCTAGTCTCACTTGGCTAAACTCATTTAGATAATCTATCTTTTGTTTTTTGGTTTTTTTTTAAAGATTTTTTTTATTTTTTCCTTTTTCTCCCCAAAGCCCCCCAGTACATAGTTGTATATTTCTCGTTGTGGGTTCTTCTAGTTGTGGTATGTGGGACGCCGCCTCAGCGTGGTCTGACGAGCAGTGCCATGTCCGCACCCAGAATTCGAACCAACGAAACACTGGGACGCCTGCAGCGGAGCGTGCGAACTTAACCACTCGGCCACGGGGCCAGCCCCTCTATCTTTTGTTTTTTGACCAATGATTATAACCTGTAGAGATTCGGAATCCCTTTTTCAATCAATAGAGAACCCAGGAAGAATTCCTTTGAGTGGAATCTTTACCAACAAAAATGCTGAATGAAATGTCTTGACTTCAGTGCTCTTGAGTCTTTCTAATTCTGTCCTCATTTGCTAGGGAGCAGTCTCCATCAACACTGACCGGTAAAGTCAATCAGCTGGAATTGATTCTTCGGCAGCTGCAGACCGACCTTAGGAAGGTAAAGCAATCTGTCGGACGTCCCTAATCAGAACTCTTTCTCTTACACAATCAACCCCCTTGAACTACAAGAAACAGAAATGAAAAGACTCAGGAGCCATAACTGCCCTATGAAAACCCAACACTAAATGGGAACAGGGAATCTTGAGGGCTAATTGTTTTCTGGCCTACAACTGGTTTGTTCCATTTTAGGGGAACACAAGGATCACAGTAAGCATGAGTGAATGAGGGTGAGCCCTCTGGATGACCAGGCTTCAGAGTGAGTTGGAAACACAGCCAGCTAGCATTTTTCAGTTCAGTGAGTTACAAGTTGCAGCCTGGCCTCCCCAAGCACTGTACCCCCAGTGAGTCAGCTTCGCGACCCTCAGAACTTCTACACATCAACCTGTGTGTGGTCGGTCCTCAAAAGAAGTTAAGTAATTCATTCCACACACACTTGTTGAGCTCTTGTTGTATCATCAGCACTGTGCTGGATAGCCACTTTGCCATCCAAGGAGATGGCATGGAGTGCAGTTGCTGGAGGGTGATGGCAGGGGTGGGAGGTGTCATGGGAAAGGTTTTCCTATTGTCATCGTTTTACTGGTTGAAGAAGGGAGAAATTACAGCTGGTGTGAATACTGATGGAAATGATCCAGTCAGGAAGGAAATAATGCAGAGGGTGAAAAGTGAGAGGGTAATTCCCTGATCTAGTGCACAAGGAGGGGGCCGGCTGCGGATCAGAGTGGGGACCGTGCATACATAGTTACCAAAGCAGAGCCTGTGTGTGTGTGTGTGTGTGTGTGTGTGTTCCACACACACAAAAGATAGGTTGACAAAGTTCTCCTCTGATTGTTTCTTTTTTGCAGACAATGAGTGATGGGGAGGGGTCTGAGAGGTTCAAGGACAGAGGATAAGGTGTAGAGTAGAGGGTAAACTGACCAGGTGTGTTTGGTAGGTTTGCCAAGCAAGGCTAAAGGTCCAGTTGAATTTGCAGCATAAGTTAGTGACGTCTTTCAGCAGAGTTACCTGTTCTTATCCACTTGGATGGCCAGCTGTCTCAGTTTGCCTGGGGGGAGAGGTTTCCCAGGACACAGAACTTCCAGAGAGAAAACCAGGAAAGTCCCAGCAAGCTGGGGTGGCTGGTCACCCTGTCTCCAGCAGCTGGTGTAGAATAGTTCGAGCGTTGCATTTAACAAACATTAGAGTGTAGACAGGAAATCAAGACAAGGAGAAGAGACACAAGGACCCTAGGGTGTATCTAGGATGTTATTAAACTGAGGGACCCAGAGTCTCAGCTGGGTGAGAAGAAATAATGTCATTGCAGGGGGCTGTTGATAGACAGTGAAAATAAATTTCCGGTGGGTTGGATAGTTATTGGAGAAGTGGATACTGGAAAAATTTTAAGAAGACAAGAGGTGGTGGTGCTCAGGAAGTGGGGGCTCGAAGCATTTAGGAAGGTATGCAGTTATCGGTAATAGCAAGATGCAGGATATGGCCACAGGAGTGGGGATTGAGGAGGGGTGGCTTTCAAGATCATAGGGAAGACGTGATGGAGAGACTGGATTGGGTGGAACATCTATGCGGATTTGAAATCATCAACAAATATGACGGGTGGTGGGGGAAGAGAAGTAAAGTGAACTACATTCTAGAATCTTCCATCAGTGATGGGAGAGACTGGAGATATAGTAGCTCATTGCAATGAGCAGGAGTGGCAGGGCTTACAACCTAATGTCATGCTTCTCAAAGGAGCGAGGATTAGGGAGGAGCAGTGATCTGCACAGAACAACCAGAGACCAGTTGTTTCGCTGCCTGACCTCCAGGCCCTGTGTCCTTCAGGCTGTGGGAGAGCAGCGTGGGGAAGCAGTGTCTTCAGGAGCGACCTAGGGTTCATTGAGAGCGTGAAGATGAAGGGGGTTTTCAGAGCAGAGGCTGAGAGTGTAGAAGATTTTAATGACAGAGTATGAGTTCCATGGGTCACAGTAAAAGGGGTCGAGGGGTCGTAGAGAGGTGGACCACTGAGTCACAGCAGGGATGTGGGGAGTTCTGAGCCACTAGAGAATGAGAGTCCAGGTTATGGGGAGTGACAGAGCAGCTTGGACCTCTTGTAGTGACTGAGGAAAGTCAGGATGTGTGGGGACTGAGATCGGTCCTTACAGGGACGTCAATAATCAGTTCTCACTCAAGCCCCTCTTGGGACCGGCGTCCTTCAGTCGAGTGGTGAGGCAGGTAGTATAGGGGAGGGCCTGAAAAGGGACCAGGAAATAGAAGCAAACCTCCAGGGTGCGCCAGGCATGCGAGGGTGGAAAGAGTCTCCTGTAGTGGCCGCAGCCACCGGCTTACCCCGCACAGCCATCTGGCCCGGTGCTGCTGGTGGCATCTGCTGGACTTAGCGGTCAGGTCAGATCCCGTTACCAAATACCATTTGTCATCATCTGACAGTGACCCCCTCTCTCCCGGGGGCAAGACATCCCTTTCAGCATTTGGGAGCTGAAACTTGTGTTGTCCGTTTTTCATTGCTGTATTTTGCAAACTCCAGATGTGATTCTTCTGAAGAATCTTGATTGTTTTTACATAATTTTTAATGACAAACTTTTACGGTCGTTGTGGAGATAGACCGTAGTGGGAAAGCATTAGGATGGAGTGGAAAGCCTAAAGACGTTTTTTATTATAAACGAACGTTGGGTCTACAGCTATGTTGGTCCCAGTTTTGTAGGGTAAGGAAGTGCCCTCAGAGAGTCTGGGCATTTGTCCGTGGCTATTACTTTTAACCCCTCACTGCAGTCTCCTTTTTTTGGAGAGAGGATAATTTAAGCTGTGATTAATCACCTTCCTGTATAGCAGCTGTCTTGATTCCTGTCGAGAGCAAACTGGGACGAAAGGAAAGAGTATGTTGAGCTGTGCACCGTATCCCTTTGTTTTTGGCACAAACCAGGATCAGGCAGACCTCCTCCGAGGAAATCAGGCCCCCTCCCCTCAAAAAATAAAGGGAAAACTAAGGATAAAGTGTTCTTGTGCTGCAGCTTAGGAGGAGAGAACACGTCGGTCCTCGCCACGACTCAGTTTGTTTCTCCTCTCGCAGGAGAAGCAGGACAAGGCCGTTCTCCAGGCTGAAGTGCAGCATCTGCGACAGGACAACATGCGGCTGCAGGAGGAGTCCCAGACGGCGACCGCTCAGCTGCGGAAATTCACGGAATGGTTTTTCAACACCATCGACAAAAAATCGTAACCAGTCCGCCCCACCAAGGGACCATTGGGAAATACCTAGAGTCCCTGCAAAGTTGCAAACGTGTGGTTTTTAGTTATGCTTTCAGCCAATCGTAGCTGTCCTTGCTATTCCACTCTGTCCAGCACCACTCACCCCGGCAGGATAGGCCGCCGCGACGCTTTCTTGGTACCATCTTGTGATAGCGGAGAGCAAGGCTGACGTGAAGATGAAGATGAATGTAACTCCCGGTGTCGAGATGAATGTAAACCCCGGTGTCGTGTAGACCTTTTCCTTTCAGACTCTACTCCAATGGTGCTCTGGTGTGGGCTTACCTCAAGAGGGAAGAGAGTTGGGTTAATTCCCTATATATCAGGTGACCTGGTAGAGATGTTAAAGCAATTTACCATAGTTTGGGCTTTAGTATTGTAAAATAAACATGAAAACAAATAATCAGACATATACTTTAATGTTAAAGGTGCTCTATTTTTTTGGATGTACAGTAGTTTTATTTCCACAGCCACATTATCATAGCAATAAGAAAGAGGCATAGTAAATAGTGGGAAAAGCTGTGTTGGGAAAAGCACTGATGCGTTTAACACTAGTTTGAATGCAGTTACTACTTTAGAGACTTATTTATTTGCAGGAGCAAACGGTGCCTGAATATTAACAGTGTTCTGATTTAAAAAAAGATACATATGCCTTGTAAATGGCTCACTAAGTAGTCACTTCAAGTCTTCGTTCACTTTTGTATAGTTACCGCTCTGCCGAGAGAGAATAAATCCGCTTCCTTCCCAGGCCTCTGCCGTGTGTGAGCCAGCAGAATTAAGTGTACAATGCCAAATTTGTTTATCTTTGTACAGAAGCTTTGATGAAGTGTCTTGTATTTAACACCCTTATTTAAGCTTATTTAACCTGAAATTGTTAATTTTATAAACTTGGTTTTACCTGCACTATGATGAGAGAGGTGTAGCGGGCAGCAGGCTCAGGAAAGGCTGGGCTTGCCCAGGAAAGTCGCAGGAGCAGGGCGGGGAATTCTAACAACTGGATGCTGCTAGTAACAATTTGTTTGTATTGCTTTACCATTTTTAACTGTTCTATTTGAGATGAACGTACATTTTGCTTTTTTAATAAATGTTTAAAAGAGTCCACATAAGTAACGGTGTTGTCAGGCGAATATAGATTTTTATGATCTAATATGTCAACAAGCTAAGTGTATGTGAATTTACTTTGGGTCATTTAGGATCTTGATCTGTATTAAACACTGCTTAGCCTTCTTCTTATAGAATCCTAGACTGATTTCAAGCAAAGAGTGACTGATGTTTATTAATAGCTGCTACATCCCTCCAGACACTGTTCTCTGCACTTTTCATCCTTCTCGTCAATCCTAACAGGAGCCTTAATAGATAGATGGTGGGATTCCCATTTTACAACTCAGTAAACTGAGGCTCGAGTTAAGTGATTTACCCAAGGTTGCCTTTTGTTCTTCATTAGCATTTTATTCAACAAAGAATTTGATGTGGCTTGCAAGGAAATACATACAATAAAATTGTAGGAATTTGAAAAATAATCAGGAACGAGTAAACTGTAAATTTGAATTAAATGTAAGACAGAAGGAAGACATAGAACATGGGCCTAAGTGGGAAGGGAAACAGAGCAAGGTAGAAGGTTCTCAACCATCTGAGAACAGAAACTGTATCAAGAATTCAGAGGAAGCAAAGCAATTGCCAGGATTTACCCTTAAAGGGATTTCCCACATGGGCTTCACCTGAGAGATACGTTGGCAAATATCCTTAACGTCAGATGTAACGTTAGGCTTCGTAAGGCTGTTTCTTGAAGCCGCCACCTCTGAAAGGCACCCAGTGAATGCAGTTTCTCGAGGAGTCGGGACATCATGGGCCCGTTGTGCATCCTTCTCCCTCCCTCCCTGTCTTTCCAATCACTGTGTGCCAGGCGCTGTACCAGGAGCCGGAGAGCCAACAGCCGTCAAGTCTAACTGGGCCCTGTCTTCATGGGCCGTACGGTCTAAGAAGGAGAGATAGGCATAAGATTATTTCAAAATGTGAAGGACAGAAATGAAGAGTGCCTGCGATGGGCTCCCTTAAATAATTATTATAATAACTCACGTTGTTTGAATAGTTACTATGTGCCAGGCACGGTTCTGAGCCTCGTTATCGATAGAGCAAACCTACAGGACAGCTACTATAATCCTTACCTCTTTAAAGATGAAGAATTGAGACGTGGACAGTGTGCTCAGGGGAGGCCTCGTGGCTAGGAGACTTGAAGGTGGAGAAAAAGCTGGTCATGAGAACCCAGGGGAGGAAAATTCCAGGTGGGGAAACTCTGAGTTCAAAGGCCCTGAGGCTGTAGAAAGCCAGGATGTACAGAAGATAGATAGTGAGGGGGAAAGTGGTAGGAGACACGTTAGAAGAGATGAGTAAAAGCCTGATCATTATAGAACTGAAGCCTGTGGGAGAGTCTGGCTTTTCTTCTAAGTCAAAAGGAAGCTGTTGAAGCAGGAAAGCAGCGTGATATGACCTATATCTTAAAAGGATTAGTCTGACTTCTAAAAGAGAAGGAATCACAGAAGACAGGCATCTGCAAACTTCTTCTCAGGCATATGGTAAATATTTTAGGCTTTGGGAGTCATACAGTGTCTCTGTTGCTTATTTTTAAATTCTAATTTACTACCCTTTAAAGCTGGAAGAGACGTTCATAGCTTGCAGGCCACCCACCACCATCGTTGACCAACCCCTGGTATAAGAGAAAGAGTAGAAAAGAAAGATCAGTGTATGTGGGAGGCAGTGCTGGCACGGACTACAGTGAGGCGGAGAAGATGGGAGAAGAAGGTGGGTCACACTTGAAAGCGTATTTGTAGATAGAACCCACTGAACTGCCCTCAGGTTGGAGACGTGAGGGCAAGGTTTGATTCAGGAAGAAGCCCTAAACTTCAGAGGAGTGGGTGAACTGCATGTTCTTCAGACAGTTTTCCCTAAATATTCCTTGCCTTTAATGAAAGCTTAATGACAGATCGTCATGTCCCCTGGCGGGGGCCTGGATGTAACTCTTCTGCGCTGTTGGTCAGAGATGGAGGGATTTGCTTTAGAGGACAAGTAAGGGGGTGGCAAGGGTAATGCTGCGTAGGGAAAATAAAGGAATCAGACCGAAATCTACCTGACCGGAGAGCCATCCCACCTTCCTAAGGCATCCCTGTGGAGGAAACCAGAAGGTGTTTTTTGCAAGAAAGACTTCTCAGTCTATACTAGCAAAAGAATGAATAATCTCTCAGTCTGCCTCCAAAGGGCCAAGCCAAAGAATGTGGCCAAAATGATTTTGGCCCATTTAACTCTTTTTCAAACAGATGTTTCCATCAACAACCAAGCCATAGAGAAATCTCTATCAAACTCCCATAGCACATGTGGTTTTGAGCCACTTGGCATCCTGGTGAAGACTGTTAATTACAAAATGTAGCCCTTAACAACTAAACGCGTTGACTTTCTGTAAGAACTTACTGGGTGCAAACTAATTAAATATTGGAGTATATCCACTAAAAATCACTAGTTTTATTAAGAATAATTAACATCAGGCAGTCTTTTCCTAACTATATGGAGTGATCTATTCCTATTTAGGCCAATCTAGTATGTGACAAAGTTAGTTTGTATGTTAGAGGCTTTTATTCCTGCGCTTCTCAGTATCAGGGAGCAGGTTTATCATTAAAAATGTAAATTACAGGGCTGGCCTGGTCGCTCAGTGGTTAAGTTCGTGTGCTCTGCTTTGGTGGCCTGGAGTTCAGCAGTTCAGATCCCGAGTGCAGACCTACACACTGTTTGGCAAGCCATGTTGTGGCACATGCCCCACATATAAAGTAGAGGAAGATGGGCACGGATGTTAGCTCAGGGCCAGTCTTCCTCAGCAAAAAGAGGAGGATTGGCAGCAGATGTTAGCTCAGGGCTAATCTTCCTCAAAAAAAAAAAAAGTTACCTTGGGGGAGGAGGCATAACAGTAGAGCCCTGCCTTTGCTGATGTCACAAGTCTCTTTGGAACACCAAGATGCTGCGGTCTTGCAAGTCCATTAAATGGCAGAACTTGATTGTATGTCATTAACCTGGAGTCTTCATCAAACTCATGAGGGTGTAAACCATAGCTTCTTGTCCGCAGAGCCGAAGACCAGAGAGAGAGCTATAAAAAACAGTGAGAATGATGCTCTTGATAGATTTCTTCACAAAGAACTGTAACTCTGGTCAATAGTGGAGAACTTGAATATTGCGATCACTTGTTCTTTGTGCAAAATATTGGACCGAGAAACCTGGAGCTGCAGCTGACAGAGAACAAACTAGAATTTAGACTGACCAACCCATGAACTCTCTAGTTGTGGGGAATCTGTGAATATAAGCTCTTGAAGAGTTGGCCCTACTTTTGTTTCCAACGAGGAAGGTATGTCACTAGAAACAAGCCGCCGTCTGTGACAAAGCCACCCTTTGCCACGACAGTCACCGTGAAACACATTCGTGTGAACATTTCTAAGAGACGAAGGCCCACCACTTTTAGTCCCAACTTTTGGAGATTATTAAGTAATCCGGGATCCTTTGAAATCACGCCAGTGTTGATTCTTCAGAGTTTCCAAGTTGGAGGATCAGGGGGCAGGAGGAGATGCAGACGCTTCGCTCCTTTGCGTGAGTGGTTAGTAAGAAACAGGAAGTTCCAGTTCCCCGGAGTGTCTGTGGGTTTTGTGCTTACACGTTTAAAACCATTTAATGGTTCTAGTGCATGCGGTTCAGGTGTGCCACTCGCAAGCAGACAAGATCGTGGACAGCGTTGAAGGGGCTCCATTCAACACGTAGTTAGAGGCCGGTGGGAGGCGAGTGTGTTTGGGATGCTCCACGGAGGGAAAGTGGTAAGAAACCTGCCAAATAAGAGGAATGCATTAGGTTCCTGACCTGTGACCTCCCAATTAACCCAAAGACCAAGCTTCCTGACTTTGAATAATAGGAATTAGGTAGAAATTTAGGCACAAGAAAAGTCTCCTCATGAATTTTATAAAAGGTTTTAATGAGCATCACCCCCAAAGGTGACATTCTTTAATTTTAACATAGAAGATTTGGAGACTTTTAAGTTACTTAAAAAAAAATGTTTAAATTTTAAAAACTGGGGCCAGCCCAGTGGCGTAGTGGTTAAGTTTGCATGCTCTGCTTTGGCAGCCCGGGGTTTATAGGTTCGGATCCTGGATGCAGACCTACACATCACTCATCAAGCCGTGCTGTGGTGGTGTCCCACATATAGAAAATAGAGGAAGACTGGCACAAATGTTGGCTCAGGGCCAATCTGACTCACCAAAAAAAAAATCTTCAAGCACCCCTGAGTTTCATCTTGATATCAGCAAATGTATTGTCTCCTTCAATCCTTAGAATCAAAGTTTTGATATAACTATTAACATCTGCAGACTCTGAAAAATACTGACCTCTGCTTTCCATCCCTAATATCAGAGATCTGCCTAAAATTTGCAGAGCAGCCTGGTTTTTCAGAAGAACGGATGAGAAACAATCAGCCTCCTTGACGTGCCAATATCCCTTGGCCCTGAACTATAGCTGAGTTATTAAAGAACACAGGTAAGGATTAGACCACTGATGTCCTGACCATCAGTACCCGTCAATCAGGCTGTTAGGCCCTGGGGTCTGAAGTGTTGTTTTTCTGTCAGCTGTTCTCCTAGGCTTTCTCCACCCAGTGAAATTGTGAGGGAGGCGGTGTGTGCAGACAGGGATTCAGACTCGTAGCATTTCAGTAAACTGTCTGCCTCAACTAAATTGGGGCTGGCTCAGCGAGAACAGCCATAATACCCATCTGCAGATGGAGGGCGCAGACCCTGGCAGTCTCCACCACTGTGCGCAGCATAAATGGTGCCCTGCCCCTCCTCCCCACGACCATGATCCTTGACAGCAAACCAAGCGGGATCTAGCTGAATGCTCCATTAAATTGGAGTAATTAAGCATGGCAGTCATGTGCTCTTCAAGGATCTGATTAAACACCTCCTAGAAGTCATTACGGAACCCCATCTGGGCCGAGGGCTTGCCAAACAGCAGGCTAAAACCCACAGTCCCCACTTGCACGAATATGGAATTCCAAGACCGGGCATTCTGCAGCGCTTTCAATTAAGCACTTGAGGACGCAACGCTATTCTCGGAGGAAGGGGCCCTTTCCTCCACAGGGCACAGAGGTCAAGGGTTAATCCCTCACCTCCTACTCGATTCTTTTTTGTTGTTTCTCTTAAATTATCTGAAGGCTGTTGTTCAG